GCCTGGCATTAGATGACTCAGTGCATTTCCAAGCACCGAAGCCAGGAGGCAGGGACAGAGCTGCAGCCCTTATTTTTTCCTCTTGGGATAGGACTGTTCCATCTTGGCACCAGGTCCACAGGAAAGCCTTCGTTCATCCCCTCCCTGTCTGTGATCTCATCAGCCAGAGCATAGCTTCAGCCAGGGAAGCAGAGCCCCAGAGCCTGAACGAGCTGTACCAGCCCACTGTCTCAGGCCACAGGCCTTGAAGTAAGACCTGCTGGGGTTTAAGCCCTAGCTCCTCTGGGTCTGAGTTTACAGTATGTAAAATGGAAGCAATAATTACAGCCTCACAGGCATGATGTGAGGATTGAGGGAGGGAAAGCACGCAAAGCACTTAGCACAGTGCTGTAGACCAATAAATGGTAGTTATTGCAAATACTACTCATTCTTGAATAGCAGTATAATAGTTGTTAATAGTGTGTTTTCTGGGGAGTTAGACAATCCAAACTGGGTGGGTTTGAGGTTTGAGGCCTCATCTTTCTAGTTGAGAGACTTTGGGAAACTTCTTCTTGACGAGTCTGTTTCCTCATTTAAAAAATGGGAATAAGGGGCCAGGTGAGGTGGCTCATGCCTATAGTCCCAGCAGTTTGGGAGGCCAAGGCAGTCGAATCACCTGAGGACAGGAGTTCAAGACCAACCTGGCCAACATGGAGAAACCCCAACTCTCTTAAAAATACAAAATTAGACAGGCATGGTGGTGCATGCCTATAATCCCAGCTACTTGGGAGGCTGAGGCAAGAGAATTGCTTTTACCTTGAAGGCAGAGGTTGTGGTGAGCTGAGATCACACCACTGCACTCCAGCTTGGGCATCGAGAATGAAACTCCATCTCAAAAAAAAAAAAAAAAAAAAAGAGAATAACAGTACCTATCTCATGGGATCATTGTGAGGATGAAATTGTGCAGACCAAACGTATAGCACATTTGCCAGTGCCTACAAGAGAACTTTGAAAAGTTCATAGAAAAATGGGATTGAAATATAAAAATAAAAAATATAAACTTTATTTCTCAACATAAGCTCCATCAAGGTCAAGACACTTATTTTTTTTTTTTGAGACAGAGTCTCGCTCTGTCACCCAGGTTGGAGTGCAATGATGTGGCATGATCTTGGCTCACTGCAACCTCTACCTCCCAGGTCCAAGTGATTCTCATGCCTCAGCCACCTGAGTAGCTGGGATTACGGGCACATGCCATCGCATCCAGCTAATTTTTCTGTATTTTTAGTAGAGACGGGGTTTCACCATGTTGGCCAGGCTAGTCTTGAACTCCTGGCTTCAAGTGATCTGGCTGCCTTGGCCTCCCAAAGTGCTGGGATTACAGGTTTGAGCCACTGTGCCCAGCCAAGGTCAAGACACTTTTGTAACCAATGACATCTGTCATTTATTTAGTACATTCCTAAAGAACTTAGGATCTAGGAGTTTTTAAGCATGTTAATGAAGTCTTTTTTACATTATTAACTAAAGAAAAAGTGCTCTTTAAAGGTTTTTTAAGATCGGGAAACAAAACGTCTTCAGAAGGAGCCAAATTGGAACTGTAAGGTGATGTCTAGTGATTTTCCACTGAAACTCTTGCAAAATTGCCCTTGTTTGATGAGACAAATGAACAGGAACATTGTCATAGTGGAAAGGTCTCCCTAGTGAAGGCTTACTGGGCATTTTTCCATTAAAGCTTTGGCTAACCTTCTCAAAACATTCTCATAATAAACAGATGTTTTTATTTATTTATTTATTTATTTATTTATTGAGACAGAGTCTCACTCCATCACCAGGCTGGAGTGCAATGGTGTGATCTCAGCTCACTGCAACCTCTGACTCCCTGGTTCAAGTGATTCTCCTGCCTCAGCCTCCCGAGTAGCTGGGATTACAGGCCCATGCCACCACACCCAACTAATTTTTGTTTCACCACGTTGGCCAGGATGGTCTCAATCTCCTGACCTCATGATCTGCCTGCCCTGGCCTCCCAAAGTGCTGGGATTACAGGCATGAGCCACTGCACCAGGCCATAAGCAGATGTTATTATGCTTTAGCCTTCCAGAAAGTCAATAAGCAAAATGCCTTGAACAATTCAAAAAATGGTTGCCATGATTTTTTTCTCTTGACTGGTTCACTATGCTTTGACTGGACCACTTCCATCTCTTGGTAGCCATTGCTTTGATTGTGCTTTGTCTTCAGCATTGTATTAGTAAAGCCAAGTTTCATTTCTGATTACGACTCTTCAAAGAAATGCTTCATGATCTTGATCCCACTTGTTTAAAATTTGTGACATTTTGAAAGCTCTGTTCTTGTCGGCAGCTGATCTGGGCACAATGGTTTTGGCACCCATTGAGTGGAAAGCTCGCTCAACTTTAATTTTCGAGTTAGGATTGGGTAGGCTAAATCAGTTGAGATATCTGTGGTGCTGGCTATTGTTTCTGCTGTTAATCATTGATCCTCTTCAATTAGGGCATGAACAAGATGACTTTTTTCCCTCACAAATTGATGTGGAAGGTATGCTGCTGTGGGCTTCATCTTCAACATTGTCCTGTTTCTTCTTAAAATGGGTTATCCATTTGTAAACTGCTGATTTCTTTTGGGGCAATGCCCTTATAAACTTTTTATAAAGCATCAATGATTTCACCATTTTTCTACCCAGCCTTCACCATAAATTTAATATTTTTATTGCTTCAATTTTGTAGAATACATGTTCTTATAGGGACTCTTTTCAAACTGATTTCTTATCTCATCTTGTTGCTTCAAGCTAGATCCTGTTCAGAAATGTTGTAGCAAGTTAGAACACATTTATTTTGGTGCCAACATTTATTTTATTTTTTTAGAGACAGGTGTCTCACTATGTTGCTCAGGCTGGTATTGAACTCCTGGGCTCAAGTGATCTGACCACCTGAGCCTCCCAAAGTGCTGGGATTACAGATATGAGCCACTATGCTTAGCCTTGTGCAAAAAAAAAAAATTTGAAATCCATGAATAGTTTTTTCATAATATGCATATTATTCATAATATTATTCATAGCTGGGCGCGGTGGCTCAAGCCTGTAATCCCAGCACTTTGGGAGGCCGAGGCGGGTGGATCACGAGGTTGAGAGTTCGAGACCATCCTGGTCGACATGGTGAAACCCCGTCTCTACTAAAAATACAAAAAATCAGCTGGGCATGGTGGCGTGTGCCTGTAATCCCAGCTACTCAGGAGGCTGAGGCAGGAGAATTGCCTGAACCCAGGAGGCCGAGGTTGCAGTGAGCCGAGATCGCTCCATTGCATTCCAGCCTGGGTAACAAGAGCGAAACTCCATCTCAAAAAACAAATATTATTCATAATCGGCATATGTAATATGTTATCCTTCCCACAAACCCCATTAATCCCTTCTCTGATCTTTATTGATTGGAATTCCTCTTAAAATCCATCTTGCATTGTTCATGTTTATCTTCATCTCCCTCAAAAGTATAAACTAGGCCTCCTAGGCTTACTTTGCTTTCACCTTGAGGCATGTCTCATACATTATTTTTGTGTTCACACCCACAAATTCAATTCTAAAAGCACTGAAATTAGAAAGGATTATGTTGGGTCCAGCATGGAGACTGGCGCCTGTAATCCCGGGACTTTGGGAGGCTGTGGTGGTGGGAAGATTGCCTGAAGTCAGGAGTTCTTTTTTGTTTTGTTTTTGTTTGTTTGTTTGTTTTAGACGGAGTCTCACTCTGTAACCCGGGCAGGAGTCTAGTGGTGTGATCTCGGCTCACTGCAAGGTCTGCCTCCTGAGTTCAAGCAATTCTCCTGCCTCAGCCTCCTGAGTAGTTGGAATTACAGGTGCCTGCCACCATGCCCAGCTAATTTTTGCACTTTTAGTAGAGACGGGGTTTCATCATGTTGGCCAGGCTGGTCTCGAACTCCTGGCTTCAAGTGATTCACCTGCCTCGGCCTCTCAAAGTGCTGGTATTACAGCTGTGAGCTGAAGTCAGGAGTTCTTGACCAACCTGGGCAACATAGTAGACCCTGTCTCTAAAATAGAAAAGACTACATTGTACATTATACAGCAAAAGTTCTTAAACTTGTTTTAGAAATGTATCTCTTCCTTTAAGTTTCCACTCTCTATGTAAGTTGCGTATCCCTCTTTTTGTTTTGCGCTAGTGTCTCCTCCAGCCTGCTTCCAAGTCTGTTAGGGAATACACACGTATACACACACACACACACACAGGTTCGTGTGTTTACATACTAAAACATAAACAATAATGCAAGATGGATTGTAAGAGGTATATATATTTTATATACATAAAAGATATGTAGGTCTCCATTTCTTGGGGGCCCTGAAGGGGAGAAAGTCACACAAAGACACGGATGTATATAAAAATGAACATATGCTCAGATATATACAATATATAAACGGGCAAATATGCAATCGTCTTGGTGCCAACGAATCCATTCATTCATTTATCAAATACTCGAGCGTCCACTTTGCCTAGAATCAAGTTATTTGTTGGGGTGAGCAAGGCATAAGAGGTTCTAGCTCTTATAAAACTTAAAATTCTACTGGAGGAAGACAAGAACAAGTATAAAATTTAAGCAGTGGAAGTGCTGTAAAAACAACACAGCTTTGTGAGCGTGGTGAAGAGGGAATAGAATGCTCCTGGTGTTCCATTGGGTGTTCGGCAGGCAATGGAATCGGAGGTGAACTATGAGCCGAGATTCATTTTATAAACGGGAACACTGACACACAGACACTTGAAGGGACTTGGTGGCCGTAAAACTAAAGGCAGGATCCCATCTGTCTTGGTGCCACCCTCTCGAATAGCAGTTTCAGGGAATGGCAGAAGCGAAAAGCAGCCGGTCGCGGGGTCCAGGGGCGCCTGCGCAAAAGGACGCCTTCAATTTGACGTCAGCGCGCCGGGCTCTGGCCCGCCCCCTGTGACACCAGCCCTGCCCCGCCCCGCCCTGCCCACCAGCGCGCTACCGCGCATGCTCCGAGCCCCGCCTCCGTGCGTCACAGAATGGCCTCGGACACCCAGGCAGACCCTGACGTGTCGGGGAGGAGCCGGGCGCGGAGGTACGCGGAGTGGAGCTCGGGGCTGCGGAGGGGAGCCGAGCTGAGCGGCTGGGCGGGCCTGGCCAGGCCAGCGGAGCGGAGTCGTCTGTCGAGCGGCGGCGAACATGCGCTTTTGACACATTGGAGGTGAGCCTGCAGCGCGGGGCCGCTCCCTAAGGGGCTGCGCCGGGCTGGCGGCGCCGAGGCCTGCCCTTGGGGAGCCCGCCCGGCCCGGGGCCGTGTCTGAGGCTCCGCCGGGGCGGACCCGGCGGCGTTCTGGGGCGAGTAGCCCGGGGCAACTGTTCCAACCGCTCTAACTGTCCCCTTCCTTCCCTGTTCCTACGTTGGCATCCCAGGGCCGCCTGCAAGGGAACGAGCCCTGCGGTCTCTGGAGGATGTGCCCCGTTCCGGGGTGGGGTGAGGGATGGCGGTGACGGAGGCCGGGACGTGGCACCGCGAGCTGGGGCGCTGGCGGCGCAAGGAGTGGCCCAGTCGGAGGTGGCAGCGGCGCGCCCAGCCCTCCTCCTCCCCTCTCCCCGAAATTCCTTCAGTTGCGAGGGTGGCTTGGAGCCGGGTTGGATTTTAATCTCGCAGAGCCTCTTTCCCATGGGGGGCGAGAGCTCGAGCAGCCCACGTTGGGCTCGGATTGGCATTCCCCTGACTTCCGCCCTGAACTGCGAATCATCCTCCCCTTGGAGTCGGGAAAGTGTCACCTACGGGCTCAGGTTACTTGTCCTCGCCTCTTTTCTTGTTGTAAGCCACAAGATGTTGACCCTAAGTTTTGCAGAGGAAGTGAGAGTTCTATCACTGCTGATTATTACCATCTGTTTACGTAGCGCCTTTACACGTTTCAGAACACTCTTCTTCCTATTGCTTTTGAACCGCATCACCTGGTGGTTGCAACTGATTATGTTATCGCCATTTGGATAGAGACATTCAGCTGGGATGGGGGTAATTGATTTATACAGCCAACTGGTGAGTGGCTTAGCTTGGATCGTAATTTACATTTCTAGGCTCGGAGTTCTGGTTTCTTTTCGTGGGATTTTTATATCCTTCTCAGCTAGAAAATAAGGCAGAAAGTATGACTTGCCAAAGATACGCCAGAAGCTGGTAGATTACTGATTCATTTATTTTTGAGCAAACTCACCTAGGATAAAAACTGCTGCTCAGTCATGAGAAAACTCTTACTGTGAAGCTTGTTCAGGAGTTGCTCGTTAATTATTTTGTCTGATAAATTGTGTTGCACTTCATGTGCTTAAAAGATAGGGTAATGGCTTTGCTAAATCATGAAGCTGATGGGCACAATGCAGTCTTAAGTCACGGGCTGAAGAGAAGTAAAGGGAAACTAAGAGATACGTCTTCTGAATTATTAAGATTATTGTTATTTAAAATTAGAATGTATGAGGAACAAAGAAAATCTTTGGCCAGCCCTGGTTAGAGCTTGACTTGATCCAGATAGAAGTTGCTAAATCTTCTGAAGCTGTAGTTCTTTTGATTTTTTTTTTCTTTTTTTCTTTTTTTTTTTTTGGGGGGAGACGGAGTCTTGCTGTGTCGCCCAGGCTGGATTTTTAAAATTAAATAAATTGAAATTGGATAAGGAGCTTAAAATAAGTAGGAACCTTAGTAAAACTTAGATCTTGCTTTCATGACATCTGCAAAACAACTTATTTTTATTTTCATTGTAAACAATGCTGAGATAAATGTGGTTACTAAAGCTTAAAATTGCTTCTGAAGTAAGTTTCTGAACACTCCATAAAGTAGAAAAAACAGTCTGATAAAATCAAAGACCATGTTTATGATCAACTTTGAAGAGTTAAAAATTCTGTAAATGTCACCTTTGAGAGTAGTAGAATTTCAGTCAAAAGGCATGTATTACCAATAGTCAGTTTCGAAAGGACTCTTCCAACCTCACTAGTCCATTTTACAACTGTTAACAAGAAACAATATTATTTAAAATAGATTATCTTACCATTGTGCAAAGAGTAATTCCTTGTAAATAAAAAGCGTTTTGGACAGGCTGTATTAAACCCAAATGAGTTGATTGTTGCTAGATTTCTGAAGGTCATACACGGTATGGTAATGCTTTTTGTAAAAATTGTCATGCTTTTGAGACTGTTGATATTGAGACCTGATATTAAAGATGGGTGGGGGCAGGAGAGAATAATACATAAGTATCCATCTTCATTTTAGTTTCAGAAAATTGTGAATGTACCATTAGAACATTGTTTTAGCAATATGTTTTCTATATTGGCTAACTTTCTATAGCCTGAATATCTCTAGTTACATAGTTTCAAATAACACAGTGAACACATCCTCCCAATGTAACTTGAAGCAAACTGAACAGACTGTAGAACAGTCCCTTAAACTGTCTTTTGAGTAGCTGCAGTGGTAGCAAATTTTGTTATTTGTAAAGAATCTGATTTTTATTTTTACTTTTTTGGGGACAGGGTCGCATTTTGTCACCCTGGAGTGCAGTGGTGTGACTACGGCTTACTGCAGCCTCAACTGTCTGGACTCAAGCGATCCTCCCACCTCACTCTCAGGAGTAACTGAGACCACAGGTGCATGCCACCATGCCCAGCTCGTTTTTGTTACAGATGGAGTTTCGGCATGTTGTCCAGGCTGGTATTGAACTCCTAGACTCAAGTGACATTCCCATCTCAGCCTCCCAAAGTGCTGGTATTATATGCCTGAGCCACTATGCCTGGCCAGAATCTGATTTTTGAAAAGGGTAAATCTCATAGGTAAAAAGTAGGGTGATAGAGCTGGATAATACCAGTTAGGAAGCAATAAAAATGAGGTGTGACCACAAAGTAAGAAGTTTTTGCTTTGTTCTTTTTTCTTTTGAGACGAAGTCTTGCTCTGTTGTGTGAGATGGATACAGTGGTGTGATCTAGGCTCACTGCAACCTCCTCCTCCCAGGTTCAAGCGATTCTCCTGCCTCAGCCTTCTGAGTAGCTGGTATTACAGGTACTCGCCACCACACCTGGCTAATTTTTTTTTTTTTTTTTTTTTTTTTGTAGTTTCAGTAGAGTTGAGGTTTCAACATGTTGGCCAGGCTTGTCTCAAACTCCTGACCTTAAGTGATCCACCTGCCTCAGCCTCCCAAAGTACTGGGATTATAGGCATGAGCCACTGAGCCCAGCCTGCTTTATTTTTAGTGTGGCTCGTAAAGGTTATTCCAAAAAAGTAGTTTTGGAAATGTTTTTCAGCAATGGTGGTATCACTGGAATATGCATATAGCTTCCTGAAATGATTAATTTTAAAGAATCATTTGATGTTTTAAATTTTGAAGCCTGTTTACTTTGTGGTCATACTTGGAAGGTCTACTATTGAATTACCAGTTTTTGATAGTTTGATGAACATATTTTTCTTTTTTCTTTTTTTTTGAGATGGAGTCTTGCTCTGTTGCCCAGGCTGGAGTGAAGTGGTGCAGACTTGGCTTACTGCAACCTCTGCCTCCCAGGTTCAAGCAGTTCTCTGCCTCAGCCTCCTGAGCACCTGGGATTATAGCCTACCACCACCACGCCTGGATAATTTTTTGTGTTTTTAGTAGAGACGGTTTCACCATCTTGGCCAGCCAGGCTGGTCTTGAACTCTTGACCTCATTATCCACCTGCCTCAGCCTCCCAATGTGCTAGGATTACAGGTATACCCAGCGACATGTATGTTTTTTACCATGTGCCGGGTTCTGTCCTAAGTACTTTACAAATATTAACTCACTTCATAACTTCATTTTAATGATTATCCCTGTTGTACAGCTGAGGAAACTGGGCACCGAATAATGAAGTAACTTGCCCAAGGTCACCCAAGTAGTGAGTAGATGCGTCAGTAGAGAGTCAGAACTTCCAGGTCTGACTTTAGACCTGGGCAGTTTGGCTTCAGGGTCTGGGCTCTTAACCACTTCGCTGTGCTGCTCCTATGACGTATTCTTGGTTAAGTGTTTTAAATTGGTTTGATCTGGAAGAGATGATCGCCCTTTTAGTAAATGATCTGACATAATACTGTTGTATAATATCAGCATGTTGTGAAAATAGCCTGTCAATTAGAAAAGTTGTGGTCAACATTCAGTTCACGTAAGATTTAGCAAGAAAATAAAGAATGTGGCCGGGCATGGTGGCTCATGCCTGTAATTTCAGCACTTTGGGAGGCCGAGGCGGGTGGATTATGACGTCAGGAGTTTGAGACCAGCCTGGCTAACATGATGAAAACCCGTCTCCACCAAAAATACAAAAATTAGCCAGGTGTGTTGGTGGGCACCTCTAATTCCAGCTACTTGGGAGGCTGCGGCAGGAGAATTGCTTGAACCTGGGAGTCGGAGGTTGCAGTGAACTGAGATTGTGCCACTGCACTCCAGCCTGGGCAACAGAGTGAGACTCTGTCTCAGAAAAAAAATATTGTGTGTGAAGTAAAATAGTTTTACTAGAATTATTTGACACTGAATGTAAATAATTGAACAAAGAGGATGCAAGGGCTAGATTATCAAGAAGTTTCATGCAAAAGGCTGTTTAAAACCTGAGTTATGGGGGAGGTGGGCACTCATGGGAAAGTTGGTGGTTGTATTAAAGGATGTCCCTGTTCAAGAACTAAAAATCAGAGACAAATGGATACTCGCAGTATATCTAGAGGTGTAAACGATGCTATTCCGCAGGGAATCACTATTTGACTAAATGCTCTTCAAAGCATTAGCTGCTGGTAGGTCCTCTGATACTATGTAAATGGGTCAAAACCAACAAAAAATACCCCCACACAGTAATGTTTTGAAGTGGACTCCTGAATAGCATTTGTAGATTCAAAACAATTGTAACTCTTTTTGTAGAAAAATTGGCTTCACATTTCAAACACCTTCAAATAGATGTTAGATACTAAGGAAGGCATCTAACAGTCATTAGAAACTTCTGTAACAATATGGGTTCATGGGCCACACTATTGGCAATATCATCACTTGCTGCACAGTAACAAAGAATACTGAAAACTCAAAAGAAAAATTATCCAACCGGTGAATAAAATGTTCAGCACAGAAGCAGCACTAGCCACTTGGCCCCAGAAAGGCAGACAGGTGTATCTAGGGACAATATAAAGCATGACAAAATACTTAAGGAACTGAGATGGCTGCCAAATGATTATAGGCTAAAAAGGCAAGAAATCATCACTTTGGGAAGACCAAGGCTGAGAGGTATTATCATCAAAGGCTACAAAACCAGAGGGGGCATAAAAAAGGAGAATACAGTTTTGTTCACCAAACCCTGGAAGCTTCCAAGAGGACAACACATGGGACCTAGGGCAAAGTTAAGACCAAAAACAGGAAGTTCATTGATGGCTATAAATTTATGGAACTTATCCCAGTTGCTTCAAATAAGGTGAAATCAATAAAAAATATTAGACTTGAAATTATTAACTTACAAAATGTTTTGTATATGAATCAGGACTTCTGCTGCTTTTTTCCTGAGCTTTTAAATTGCTCTTTTTCTTATTGACAGTAGAGTAACATGTCTTCACCACAACCTCAAATATATCTAGCCTCTCACTTGTATTGTAGGCTCTCTGTTCTGCAGGATTCTTGATTTTTCTTGGTGTCATCCATCTGTATGAAGCATTCTATAGGCCCAATGGACTAGGCTTCATCCTGAGACTTCTCTTTATTGCAGTCCTAGGTTTTAGCCGGTTTCCTGCATCCTGTGCTGTCCAGGTCATGGTTTTCTCCCTTCTTGTGTGCTTGTCTCAGGAAGTGTGTAGGATGGTAGCCCTCCTGACTTTTTTTTTTTTTTTTTTTTTTTAAGTCTTTGTCTAGTACCTCCTGAGTTCTTGTATAAGAAAAAAGTCTCATTTCCTCAGTTGTCTGTTTCCTGTCAGTTCAATAGGTCCTAAAATTTTCTTATTCATGCTACTGGGTTTTCTTATTTGTTGGGTGGCTCTTGGTTGTCCATTTATATTTCAGGGCCGGACGATGATGATTCGAGGTAGCTAGTGTGCAGTGGTTATCCCCGGGGTTCTTCCCGATAAATCCCATCAGCTCCCTTTTCTTTGATGCGGAGCCTGTACTGAGCCAATGTAAGTGACTGAATGTGGCTGCCCATGTATGGATTAATAATTGTGTCTAACTGATGATAGGTTTTCTAATACTGATTTAATATATGGTGGTACATTGTGAGCTAGAAGTAAACTACCCACACATCTTTTTGCTTACTCCATTCCTGAAGTAGGAATTCAGATGTTAATAAAGTGGTACTTTGAAAGTAAACAGGGAATAATGAAAGGGTGATTATAAATCACTTCAGATATTTATTTATTTTAGAGATAGGGTCTTGCTGTGTTGCCCAGGATGGAGTGCAGTAGCACACTCATGGCTCACTGCAGCCTCAAAATCATGGCTTACTGCAGCCTTACTGCTTCTGGGCTTAAGCAGTCCTCTTGCCTCAGTCTCGCCATGTGTTGGGATTACAGGCATGAACCACCATGCCCAACCTTAATTCAAATATTTACTGAACTTCTGCTGTGATCCATGTTTGATGATGTGGAGAGATTTAATCTTTCATTTCTTTAAGTTTGCTAAACCTTCCTGAGTGGCTTGTGCTAGATAAACTCCAAGTTCTCTGCATCTCCAGGTTTTATTAATTTACTTTTAAAGCTGGTCTTAATTTCTTGCTGCCTAGTATGGATTAGGTTGAATCAATTATGCTTTAATTCAGTAAACATCATAAGAGTTCTTATGATGTTTCCTGAAACACTATTGTGCAGGCATTGGACTGAGACGGAACTAAATAAGTCAGCCTAACAGTTGACACAAAAGGTATAAGCAAATGCATTGCTCTGTGGTAATTATATCAGTGAAAGCATGTGTAGGGTATAGAGGTAGCAAAGAGTACAAGAGATTTTAATGCTGTTCAATTGAGGGCAAGAAAACCTCTCTATAAAAGATGACAACTAGGTTTTAAGGATAAGTAGAAGTTTTCCTGGTTAGGGGAGCAATTCCAGCTAGAGAAGACCTGGGGTGGGTTTTCCAGACCTGAAATAGCATGGTGTGTTAAGATAGTTTTGAACAGTAGTGCTGGAATGTAAAGTGGGATGCTTGGGAAGTGGGGTGCTAGGAAACTGTAGGCATGACTCTAGAGTGAGCCTGATGATCGGTTGGGAGTTTTAGGTAGCTAGTCCAAATGTAAGTTCATTAAATCGCTTTTCCCCCTCTGAATGCCTTGGGAGAAGAACCAAGATGAAAGAGAGATCACTGAAGTTGGAGATTAGTGGCCTTTTGGAAGGAAGCTTTGGACTTCAAAGATAATTAACAGGAAGTTTTTAGAAATTTGATCTTAGTAAATTATTGGGAATGTGGTACCTGATTTTCTAGTAGGGTCACATGGCATAAAATGTTCGATGCAGCTGTTTTGAAGCAATTGTACACCTGGGAAGGGCATGCATGCAGCAGTGGCAGCGTCTGACAATCAGCTTGTTTCTGTCTCCTGATTCCCAGAAGGCCAGTTGGCCTTAAACAAACTGCTGGAACTCTGTGTGCATCATGATTCTGTTAGCCAAGTCACCCAGCACCTGTGCTGCAACCAAAGTGCCTCATGTTGCTTTGTGTGAAAGAACCTTTGTTAAGACCTCATTCACAATATTGGTGGTCCCTGAGAGGAGCAGTGAAGTGGCTTACAGGCCTGAGTTACAAGAGAGTTGACCACTAGAATCTCATGTTTTATTCCCTCCAAAATGCTGCAATTTATTGTTGTCCCAGATTTTATGCTTTTGCTTAGATTTTTCTGTTTTCTTTTTTTTTGTTTGTTTTTGTTTTTTTTTGAGACGGAGTTTCGCTCTTGTTACCCAGGCTGGAGTGCAATGGCGCGATCTTGGCTCACCGCAACCTCCGCCTCCTGGGTTCAGGCAATTCTCCTGCCTCAGCCTCCTGAGTAGCTGGGATTACAGGCACGAGCCACCATGCCCAGCTAATTTTTTGTATTTTTAGTAGAGACGGGGTTTCACCATGTTGACCAGGATGGTCTCGATCTCTTGACCTCGTGATCCACCCGCCTCGGCCTCCCAAAGTGCTGGGATTACAGGCTTGAGCCACCGCGCCCGGCCCAGATTTCTCTGTTTTCTAATTTGTCTTTAATATTTCACAGGCTTTCTTGATCATGGATGGTGAAGATATACCAGATTTTTCAAGTTTAAAGGAGGAAACTGCTTATTGGAAGGAACTTTCCTTGAAGTATAAGCAAAGGTAATGTTGAAAAGCACACTAAAAGTAGGGGAGGGCGTTTGAAATGCACCATGTCTTGTTTGTATGTTTTTCTTTTTAACATAAAGCTAAATTTAGAATTACAGATTTAGGATTCTAGGATTGAGATTCTAGAAATAGTCGCCACATTGCTTATTTTTAAATAGCATAAACGTGCTGTAAGTCTTTATATTGTTCAAATTATTAAAATTGTAGGAAAACTGTCATTTATGATTTCTTCTGATCATTTGCTTTCTTTATGCTTTTTAGGCCGTCTTTGGCCTGCTTTGCGTGCACTGATTCTGCCTCTTCATTTTGGTCATTTGGAGATTCTGATAAGCTGTCTAGGGCTGCGTAGAACAGATTACGTTCTCCTCAGGCAAGCATGATCAGTGTCTAGAGCCAGCAAAGCTTTGAGGGAGGGGGAGAAGCTTCAGGGGCATGGAATGTTTTATACAATTTCAATTATTGGTTGGGAGAACTTTTAGATAAAAACCTTTTGCACCAAAACTTGTCTCAAATTTCTGTTTTTAAAATGGGATCTTTCTAAATATTGATACATTTTCCTATTTTGGTTAACAGAGTTTACTAAGTCTTATCAAACCTTTTACTCCTCTTTCATTATTATCACCGAAGTCAGTTATTCTGTTGTGCCAGTGGATATGAAAGGTGTGTATCTATGGCAGGATTCTTAATCTTTTTCTGTGTCATAGATGTTGTAATAGGCCGGGGTAGCCTATGGACTTCTCAGCATAATATTTTTAAGTGCATAGAATAATAGAATTACAAAGGAAATGAACTGTATTGAAAAAAGTTATCTAATTTATGGCATAGCAATATGTACTTCTCTATTAATGCATTAAGTAAAAAAGATACAGAAGTGAATGTAATAACTACCTAATTTTGAAATAGTCATGAGAATAAGTGATATTTAGCGATAGATGCAGCAATTCTGTTGTGACATGAAAATATCTGTGATTTCTGTTGAATAAAGCAGAGGGAAATGCCAAATTTGTTACTTTAATGAAAGTAAAGATGCATTTTTCTCCCATCTGAGTTCTGTGGTGGAAGAAGTTAATGGTATTGAACCATGTAGACTTACTTTTCATAAATATTGTAATCACTGACTTGTGACTGCTTCTTGGGCTTGTAAGTAATTTTCATTGAATCCTGAATATATACTGTAAGAGATGGAAAACAGATTGTCTTTAGTATATTTTATGAGAGCATTAGCATTCAAGCAAAAATTATCGAATTGCTATATAATCATCTCCAGGACCATTCTTGTGGTTCTTACTATAACTCATCTTTCCCACTTTGTTTCTGATTAGCTTCCAGGAAGCTCGGGATGAGCTAGTTGAATTCCAGGAAGGAAGCAGAGAATTAGAAGCAGAGTTGGAGGCACAATTAGTACAGGCTGAACAAAGGAATAGAGACTTGCAGGCTGATAACCAAAGACTGAAATATGAAGTGGAGGCATTAAAGGTAATTGCAGCAGTAGAAGCTGGTGTTTAATGTGTTGGGTTTAATTAAAATGAGAAGTATATTTTTCAGGTGCTTAAGAGCAGCAGGTGACAAAAGTGGTTTAAAAAAAAGGCTTGAAATTAATTTTTGAATAAAATGTTTTCTTCCATGGAACCAAGGGAAAAGGTGGTTTAGAGTTTAGGAGTTCACTTAAAAACTTTGTAGCTGTCACTTTTCTAGCTGTAATGTTCTAGCTGTATTATATTGTAGTTCCTATACTTTTCAAAAGCTGCCTGATTATTTGTTTTGACAGAGTACCTCATTCTGAAGTATGTTTACAATTATAGGAAATATGGATTTATTTCATTATTGTTTATAGCTCTTTCAGTTTTGGAATTTAATTTGGATTAAAGATTTCCCTTCTAAAAAAGGAGTTTTTAGGAGCCAAAGGATTAATCCTTTTCTCTGCCCTTTGCCATCTACTGTAGCCACATGTTTGAGGGTGTTTAGTGTTTGGGGAATAGGTGGGTTTGGGGAACTCTGGGTGGGAAGGTAAAGGGTAGGGCATTTGAATTCTGTGCTTACCCTGGGCCACATTTAGCCTGAAAACCCAGAGGTTTCCCCAACAAGTTTGGGGATTTTGAGGCAAGGGTTTTTTTTTATATTACTTCTTTTCAGAGAGATTGTTATTGGGTGTCTTTCTGAGAGGAGACTGGTCGACGAAACTTAACATGAGTTTAGGCACTTAGAATGAATGTGTGATTTAGTTGTTTTTAAAATAATTGTTAAAAGAGTGTGGGCAAATTACTTGGGTTCTACCCCCACCCTTTTAACTTGAGTTACATCTTTATTAAAAGAGGACTGTATATTAATGACATGTACTTTTTTATAACTGATGCCTTCAGGAGAAGCTAGAGCATCAGTATGCACAGAGCTACAAGCAGGTCTCAGTGTTAGAAGATGATTTAAGTCAGACTCGAGCCATTAAGGAGCAATTGCATAAGTATGTGAGAGAGCTGGAGCAGGCCAATGACGACCTGGAGCGAGCCAAAAGGTAAACGAATGACTGCATTTTGTTAGAAAAAAATGAAGTTGATGATTAGTGTTGAAAATCTTTATTGGGCTTTTCTCCTAGATCTTAGTCCTAGAACATTCCTTTTGGTTTTTCATGTCACCTGTAACTCATCGTATGGAAAAGAACCCCAAATCCTCATCTCCCAGATAATGCCCTTCACAGCTTTTCTCTTTCAGTTTTTCCTTTTTCCTTCCTTATGCCATTGTTGATCTTACTGATTTTGTTTTGTTTTTGTGAGACGGGGTCTTACTCTGTCACCCAGGCTGGAGTGCAGGTATAGAGTGTGTTATTTATTAAATTCATGTACTCTAATTTTTCTTTTTAGGGCAATAATAGTTGCCCTAAAAAGTGGCATGATCTCGGCTCACTGAAACCTCTGCCTCCCAGGTTCAAGCAATTCTTGTGCCTCAGCCTTCCAAGTAGCTGTGATTACAGGTGTGCACCACCACACCTGGCTAATTTTTGTATTTTTAGTAGAGATGGGTTTTGCCTTGTTGGCCAGGGTGGTCTTGAATTACGGCATCAAGTGATCTGCCTGCCTCGGCCTCTCCAAGTGTTGGGATTACAGGCGTGAGCCACTGTACCTGGCCTGGGTTGTTTTTTTCTAAACTGTCCCATGCCTTCCTCCATCTTCCCTCTGTGTTCTTAACACTTCCGTACTTTCTGTCGGTCCTCACATCTTATACCTGGTTTCTGCAGTTATCTTCTAGCTGATCTGTCTTTATATTTCTATTCCTTTTTCTTCTCTTGTGTTTTATTATTGACTGATGAATTTTCTTAAAATGTTGGTTTCAGTTCAAATTTTCTGAGCAGCCTACAGTGGCTTGCTATTACTGTTGCCAGACTTTCATGCATCTGTAATTATTTGTTTCTTAATCATTCCAAACTTAATTCCTATTACTTTATAGTAGTTTCCTGATATTTTCTTCCTATTTATGCAGTGATGTACAGATGCAGAGCTAGTCAGGTCACTACCCTTGGGGGTGACACGTAGGTACATTCACTGTGTCAATAGCCTAGTAAAAAGAAGTGGGCAAGCTGCTCAAGGGCATAGAGGAGGCAGCAGCCAGAGCACCTTGTGGAATTTGGGAAGCCATTGCTGAGTCTGCAAGGAAGAGTAGCCGTTAACCGGGTAAAAAGACAGGTGCAAAGGCAGAGAGGCAGGAAAGTGCTTGAAGTATTCATATTTGATCTTTTTTTTTTTTTTTTTCTCTGAGATGGGAGTCTTGCTTTGTTGCCCAGGCTGGAGTGCAGCGGCTCCGTTTGCACTCACTGCAACCTCTGCCTACTGGGTTCAAGCGATTCTCATGCCTCAGCCTCCCTAGTAGCTGGGTTTACAGGTGTGTGCCACTATGCCTGGCTAATTTTTGTATTTTTAGTAGAGATGGGGTTTTGCCATGTTGGTCAAGCTGGTCTTGAACTCCTGACCTCAAGTGATTTGCCCACCTCGGCCTCTCAAAGTGCTGGGATTACAGGCATGAGCCACTGCCCCTGGCCCATATTTCACATTGATTGATGTGTATAGTGATAGTGTGGCTGAAGGAGATGAGCCTGGAAGGTGGTTGGGGCCAGACTGTGAACAACCTAGTAGGCTGTGTTTGAAAGTCACTCTCTAGGCAATGGAGAACTCATTAATTTGGTTTTTTAAACAAAGGAGTAATAACAGATTTTGATTGGAGAAGATAATAGGAATTGGAAGTAGGGAGGAGGTGTAAAGACCATTTAGGAGTAATCCAGGTGATGAATGAAGAATTCAGGCAGAATTTTGGAGGAGTTTGGGACAGAAGGTTGAAGAAGAAATGGATATGAGAGACATTTTGGCAATTGGTAGGAATTGATAAAATTAGATGTGGCTTTAAATTCTGACTTGAGGTGAGGGAATTTTATTTCTATAGCAGATTGCACATAGTGTGAGACATAGAATAGGTGCATGTTAATGTTTGTTGAATGAGTGTCTGAGAAGTCCAGGAAGAAAAGGGTTGGCAGGAGGTAAATGGAGTGGGACAGTTACTGGTGGAGGGTCTTGACTGCAAGTCATTCAGGTTCTTGAACAAATATTTGTACAAAACACACAGCAAAGCAAGGAAGGAATGAAGCAACAAAAGCACGGATTTATTGAAAATGGAAATACACTCCCCAGGATGGGAGCAGGCCCAAGCAGCGGCTGAGGGGCCCTGGTTACGGGATCTTCTGGTGTCCAGATACCCTCTAGAGGTTTTCCATTGGCCACTTGGTGTATACCCCATGCAAATGAAGTAGTGGCCCGTGATCAGTCTAATTAATTGGTTAATTGGTTGCAGAGGGCAACCAAATCAGAGGCTGAAGTGAAGTTACAAAGTAACACCCTATGCAAATGTCTGATTGGTTGCAGAAAGCAAAGAGGAACCTCTGGGCCTTTCCTTACTTAGGTGTGGAAAGTTTGGATTTTCCTTTTGATTTAGTTCTAGGAAGTCAGTGTGAGTTGGCTTTAAGTTCCCTGACTTAGGACTTAATGTTTTAAACAAACTCTTACATATATACATGACAAGTGTTGAAAAGTTTTCTTTCTGAAAATGTGTGTACTTGATTTTGTATTGTGTTCAATATACAGTGTTAGATATAAATAGCGTAACAACTAGCCTATCAGTGGGGAACATTACGGAATAGATGGGAATTTAAGAGAATATATTGAATATATTGCCCAAATGATAGAGACACTATGTACCAGCAGTGGTAGGAAGGGACAAGATCGTTTTCTTTGGATGGGGCCAGCCTGGCTAGGTCAGGAAATGTCACGAGATAAATGACAGTTTTCATTTGTACTCTCTGTTTGCATGTGTTATTTATTTAATTCATGTACTCTGATTTTCTTCTTAGGGCAACAATAGTTTCACTGGAAGACTTTGAACAGAGGCTAAATCAGGCCATTGAACGAAATGCGTTTTTAGAAAGTGAACTTGATGAAAAGGAATCTTTGTTGGTCTCTGTACAGAGGTTAAAGGATGAAGCAAGAGGTAAAATTTATCACTGAAAGAATATAGTTGACCCTTGAACAATGTGGGTTTGAACTGTGTGGGTCCACTTTGACTTTTTTTCAACCAAACACAGAGTGAAAATACGGTATACACAGCATTCAAAACCCTGTATACGGAGGACTGACTTTTCATATTTATGGGCCAAGTGTGGGACTTGAGTATGTGCCAATTTTGGTGTAGGTGGGGGTCCTAGAACCAGTCCCTATGTATACTGAGGGAAAACTGTCATCCCTTACCTTACTGTCCCTATGCAAGAAGCAGCTTAGGGTCAACTTTTTCAAAGCTATACTATCTTTTTTTTTTTTGAGATGAAGTCTTGCTCTGTTGCCCCGGTTGGAGTGCAATGGCATGGTCTCTGCTCACTGCAGCCTCCACCTCCCAGGCTCAGGCAATTCTCCTGTCTCAGCCTCCCGAGTAGCTGGGATTACAGGTGCCCACCAGCATGCCCGGCTAACTTTTGTATTTTTAGTAGAGACCGGGTTTCACCGTGTTGGCCAGGCTGGTCTCGAATTTCTGACCTCAAATAATCTGCCTGTCTTGGCCTCCCAAAGTGCTGAGGGTACAGGTGTGAGCCACCATGCCTGGACAAAGCTGTACTTTTGTATACTTTTTTAAGCACTGTGATATCTGCAAATCTGCTAATTTATTTAATACCTGTATCATCAATGCTAAGAGCTAGATATTCTTATCTCTATTTTAGAGATGAGAAAACAGAGTTTGAGTTTAGTCCCAGGTAATATAGCTTGTCAGCTGAGGTTTAAACCCTGGTCTGATTTCCAAAGCTGTAGCCACTACCACTGTGCATATGCTGTTGCATTTGTTTTGGTTTTTTTCCTTGTTGCTCCTACCTAAATAATAAACGATATATATAATACGTATACAGCAGTATGTACACATAGTATACATACACATAAATAGTATACATACTGCTGTATACGTATTATATGTATAGTTCATATATACTTTCCTTTAAAATTTTCCTTTTCCCCCCCTTTTTCCCTTATGCATTATAGAATTCAAAATACCACAAAGAAGAAAATAGAAAGTACTGCCAATCCTTTATCTGGAGAGAACCCCCTAACAGTTGGTTGAATTTCTTTCCAGTGTTTCCTATGACTGTACCTATCTGCCTATTTTTTTTGAAAGACCGTACTATGCAGACACACAGACTCTTACATGCACCCTTATTTCTTTTCCCCACTTTTCCCACAACTTAACGTAGAAAATACGGTCCATGACAATAAAAAAATCTTTTAAAACAGATTTTCAAAATGTTAGATAACCTATTATATGGTTATGTTTTAGTAATGAGTTGGTTATAAGTAGTGCTGCGACTAAGATCTTCATAATATTTAGGAGTATCTGCTGATTTCTTTAGGAGAGGCAAAGGAAATATTTTTAGTGGTAACAACTGAGTGTCTTCATACTCTACAGCTTTGTTAATAATAATTATTAACAGAATAATTTATCAGTCCATTTGAAAGTTGAAAATTGCTATCTCGTTTTCTGATTTGTAGTTCAATTACTACTTGTGAAACTTCTTGTCCAATGTTTATTGAATCTTTCAGAGATAGTTTTATTATGTCCTTTCTTTCCTCTGAGGAAGTGGTATATTTACCTGAAGAACTTCTCATAATTTATATCTTACTTGGTTATAATTGTGGTAAAAAACACATAACGTTGACCATCTTTTTTTTTTTTTTTGAGACGGAGTTTCGCTCTTGTTACCCAGGCTGGAGTGCAATGGCACGATCTTGGCTCACCGCAGCCTCCGCCTCCTGGGTTCAGGCAATTCTCCTGCCTCAGCCTCCTGAGTAGCTGGGATTACAGGCACGCACCACCATGCCCAGCTAATTTTTTGTATTTTTAGTAGAGACGGGGTTTCACCATGTTGACCAGGATGGTCTCGATCTCTTGACCTCGTGATCCACCTGCCTCGGCCTCCCAAAGTGCTGGGATTACAGGCTTGAGCCACTGCGCCCGGCCTACGTTGACCATCTTAACTACTGTTTTTTTTTTTTTTTTGAGACAGGATTTGCTCTGTTGCCCAGGCTAGGATACAGTGGAGTGATGGTAGCTCACTGCAGCCTCAAACTCCTAGGCTTAAGTGATCCTCCTACCTCAGCCTCCTGTGTAGCTAGGATTACAGGAATGTGCTACTACATCCGGCTAATTACAAAACATTTTTTTGTGACAACACAGTCTCACTTTGTCAGCCAGGCTGGTCTTGAACTCTTGGCCTTAAGTGATCCTTCTGTTTCTGTCTCCCAAAATATTGGGATTACAGGTGTGAGCCACTGTGCCTGGCTTCTTAACCATTTTTAAGTGTACAGTCCAATAGTGTTAAGTATAGTGAAATTGTTGTATAAACAGATTTTTAGAACTTTTTCATCTTGCAAAACTGAAACTATGCCTGTTGAGTAGTCACTGCTCGTTTTTCCTTCCTTTTAGCCCCTGTCAACCGCATTTCTACTTTCTATGAGTTCAACTACTTTAGATACCTTATATAAGGGGAATTATAGAGTTATTTGTGACTGCCTTATTACACTTAACATAGTGTTGTCAAGGTTTATCCATGTGTAGCACGTGACAAGATTTCCTTCTTTTTTAAGGCTGAATGATAGTCCATTGTACGTATTCGTTTTCTTTATCTGTTCATCTGTGGGTGGACATCGAGTTGCTCTCATCTCTTGACTATTGTGAATGATGTCACTGTGAACATGGGTGTGTAAATACATCTCTTTGAGATCCGGTTTTGAATTCTTTAGGATACATACCCAAAAGGGGGATGACTTTGTTTCTTTGTTAAACAAAGAAACAAAGGTTAATTGCATAATAGGAAAAGAAAACATTAATTTTTGGTTAAAAACTCGATACTGGCTGGGTGTGGTGGCTCACGTGTGTAATCGCAGCACTTTGGGAGGCTGAGGCGGGCAGATCGTTTGAGGTCAAGACCAGCCTGATCAACATGGTGCAACCCTGTCTCTACTCAAAGTACAAAAAATTTAGCTGGGCATACTGGCAGGTGCCTGTAATCCCAGCTACTGGGGAGGCCGAGCCAGGAGAATTGCTTGCACCCGGAGGCAGAGATTGCAGTGAGCTGAGATTGCACCAGTGCACTCCAGCCTGGGTGACAAAGCAAGACTCGTCAGAAAAAAAAAAAAATCCTTGATATTTGAAAGCAAGAAAAAACTTTAAACTGTTCCGAGTACTTCTTTTCTAAAACCAAATATTTCATAGTGGTGATAGTTGATACCAACCCATTTAAAATTACAAAAATCCACACAGTTTTGCAGTAATCCCAAAACTACACATTTGAAAATAAAAGCAAATGAGTTGGTGAAGAATATTTACTTTTGTGTGAATTGTACTCTGTACTCTGCACTGTTTCTTTTTGCATATGAGCATAAGTAACTTCTCTCAGATTACAACATTTTTAAATTCTGAAAGATCATTTCGATAGTAGTTTTGCCATTTTTATTACCCTAGATAGAAAAATTATTAATAACTAGAAAATTATTTTTTGAGAAATAGTAATTTAGGAAGAAAGTCTTTACAACATTTTAGATGTCACTTTTCTTGATATATTTTCTTCCTCTAGTGAGTATTCCTTCCCTCGTTTGCAATATTTTACAGATTTAAGGCAAGAACTAGCAGTTCGAGAAAGACAACAGGAAGTAACTAGAAAGTCGGCTCCTAGCTCTCCAACTCTAGACTGTGAAAAGATGGACTCTGCTGTCCAAGCGTCACTCTCTTTGCCAGCAACCCCTGTTGGCAAAGGAACGGAGAACACTTTTCCTTCACCAAAAGGTTTGTAATGTCTTTTGTTTTTGAGGTGTTGTGTTAGATTATCAGCTTAAGGGAGTTCGTTGCTGAAGTGGGTTGCTAAGGTTTAAAGAGTAATTTTAGTTTAAAAGTTGGTGAAGTCTAGTCTATGTGAAACAGAAGAAGGAATTGCCTTCCTGGGCCACTCATGCATAGGAAACAGTGAAATGATGGCTACATTTAAGATGAGATTTTTAAAAGTTAAAGGTTTTTAAGGAAAGTTTATTTTTTGATTACAGCAATAGATTTTTTGATAATAGCAGTATGTTTAGGTAGAAAATTTTAAAAACACACGAAAAAGAAAATAAAAATCATGTTATCACTTACAGACACCCACCATTAACATTTGGAGTCTTTTTTTAAATTGTGTGTTTGTGTTTGTGCACATCTCTTTGTCACATATAAATTTGGGGATCATATTTAAACACAGTCTTATTTCTTCCTTTTGCCACTTTGCATTTTATGGGAGACCTGAGGCTTTTCTACATAGAATGTACAGAGAATCATTAAGTTATCTTTCAGACTCATGTACCGGCTTGGATGGACATGCTCATTTTGTTACATGCTTCAGGAGCTGCCATTTTCAAAGGCATCTTTCAGAGTAATTGATGATTGGCATATACAAAATAGTCATGTGGCCATCAGCCAGTGTGTTTTTAAAAATCCAAATAAGCAGAAAAACCACTTAGCCACTAGATAGAACCTTAAAATGGAATCCCAAAGCTCTCAATTGAGATTTGTTTAGATTTTGCAGCTCACAGTTCATGTTTCAGCTACTCTTGTCCCCCCATGCTTTTTTTCACCCTATATTAGAAGCTGTCATCCCACCCCTTTTTCAATTATAGGGTTCTATCTTTCAAAATGCTGTGTGGGCAATTAGTACAGTGAGCTGTGCCTGTGCTACTCAATAAAGTAGTCACTAGCCCATGTGACTGTATTTATTATTATTATTTTTTAAGACAGATTCTCGCTGTGTCACTAGGTGCCAGGCTGGAGTGCAGTGGCGTGATCTTGGCTCACTGCAACCTCCGCCTCCCAGGTTCAAGCAATTCTCCTGCCTCAGCCTCCTGAGTAGCTGCAACTACAGGCGCGCACCACCATGCCCAGCTAGTTTTTGTAATGGGGTTTCACCATGTTGGTCAGGATGGTCTCAATTTCTTGACCTTGTGATCCACCCGCCTTGGCCTAAATTTGTATTACTCTAAATGAAATACAAAATTCAGTTTCTTGTTCACATTAACTGCGTTTCAAGTGCTTAGTAGCTCTTGAGTAGCTAATTTAACTTGCCTTTGCCTTGTTACCAGGTGACATCAGATAAGGTATGTGAAGGTGCTATATGGTCGTAAGGTGTTACTAATTGCACTAGTATGCCATCTTTACTGTTGAGGACAAAGGGCAGGCAATAGATTACAGCAGTCATCAGGAGCCCTCATTATTGGTTTTTCAGAATAGCTGCTTGTGTATTTGAAGATTTCACAATTACATCTGAGGGCTAACAAAGTTTGCTATTATGTTACTAATTAGAATTATGCAGATCTGAAAATCCTTTAGTTGAGGACTAATCAGAATAGTTAAAAGCGTCAGTTGCGGTGACACCCACAGGTGGTGCATGTATTTTTTAATAGCCTGTTAGAGTTTTTATTCACGGACTTGGGGAGTCAACGGGACATGGAGCCTGCTCTGGCACAGTCTGAGATATGGCAACCCTATGGCAGTAATATTTGCTTAATAGATATGTTTTTAGGCTGGAACCGATAGCGTAAATTTTCACTGGCTAACCTAAAAGCTGCTGTGTACTAGATCACTGCAATTTCGTTGCAAGAAAGCACAGAATTGCAAGGAGCAGCAGGTGATCAGAGAAATCCGTGAGATCTTAGAGCTGATCTTTCTGAAGTAGTCTGTCTCTAATTGTATCTTACTATTTACAATGTTTGTTTGTTTCTTTCTTTTTTTTTTTTTTTTTTTTGAGATGGATTTTTGCTCTTGTTGCCTAGGCTAGAGTTCAGTGGTACGACCTTGGCTCACTTGCAACCTCTGCCTCCTGGGTTCAAGCGATTCTCCTACCTCAGCCTCCCAGCAAACCAGTAGAAAAAACATACAAAGACTAAGCAGCTGATTTTTGGAAGAGATTCAAGTGACTAGTTATGGAAATAGAAACTAAACATGACTATCAAATTGGCAAAAAAAAAAAAAAAGAAAATATCTGATCTTATTGAGGGTACCACCACATAGATTGCTGATACTGGTACAGGCTTTTTAGAGAGCATTAAGGTGAAAAAAATGGGCATATGCTCTGACCTAGCAGTTCTATTTTTAGGAATCTCTTTTCCAGAAATATTTGTCTAGATGTGTAAAAGTATGTCCTTGTAGCATTATTTGTAATGGTGAAAAATTTGACATAATGTAAATGTTCACCAATTGGAGAGTGGTTAAACCTGCTGTGGTATCTAGACTTTATTCATAGTTGGAAGTAGTTTGTTGATATTGTGTGGAGTGTTACACTACTTTGTAATCTCAGCAGCCAAACCCAAGTGTAAAGGGAAATGCAAGTGTAATCACTCATCTCTTATTTTTCTCTAGCTATACCAAATGGTTTTGGTACCAGTCCACTAACTCCTTCTGCTAGGATATCAGCACTGAATATCGTGGGGGATCTCTTACGCAAAGTCGGGGTAAGTTTCAATTATTGATCACTAGGTGTTCCCACTGACAAGGTATTGAATTATTTCTTTTTTCTTTTTTTTTTTTTTTGAGGTGGAGTTTCACTCTTGTTGCCCAGTCTGGAGTGCAGTGGCGCGATCTTGGCTGACCGCAACCTCTACCTCTCAGGTTTAAGCGATTCTCCTGCCTCCGAACTAGCTGGGATTACAGGCATGTGCCACCATGCCTGGCTAATGTTTTGTATTTTTAGTAGAGATGGGGTTTCTCCATGTTGGTCAGGCTGCTCTTGAGCTCCTGACCTTAGGTGATCCACCGGCCTTGGCCTCCTAAAGTGCTGGGATTACAGGCGTGAGCCACTGTGCCTGGCTGAATTATTTCTTAATTTGAAGTGAAGGAAGAAAGAAAGGATACTTTTCTGTAGTAAAGGCTGTAGTGAAGCTGAGAAGTAAAAGCATCCAGTGACTAGCCAGAGGCTAGTCCAGATGACACTTCCATGATGCCCCGGAAGAAAAGCCTGTATCCGGAGCTCGGAGGCTCCCCCCAGGGCATTCTTCCTGTCCCCATTCCTGTTTGAACAGCACAATGCCTCTGTCCTTGTTTAGAATACTTTGTCTAAGGCCTGCTGTGTGTTCTACCACCCTCATCCTGGTCTTTGCTGCTGTCTCCCGTCTTCCTGGTCATTCCCTTGTCTTGTGTTTTGTGGAACTTTAACATTTGGCTCACGGCATCACTCTCTACTCTTAGTCTTGCCCACCTTATTGTTCCTTGGCCACCTCAACTTCAGCGCCTTCTCCTTGGTATGAGCCTTGTGTTCCAGAACAGTTTCACTTCTGGTCTTTATATTCGTGCCACTCAACAAATGTGTTTTGAGAATTTTGTTTAACTATAATTTACTCAAAATCATGTTGAGTTTTTAAATATTCATATCAAGCTGACCTGTGTGCTGTTTTCTTTTCCTGCATTTCTATTTTCCCCTTCTTTCTTTTGAGTAGAAGAAACTTGCACTTGTCTTTGCTCTTATGTCTTCCAGCTTCTCACTCATACTTTCTGCAGGATGCCCTGATGTGCTTCTAGGGCCGCTGCATTGTTGTCGCTCTTGAATTTCTCCTCATTTTACTCTCGGGTTAGTTCTGCCTGTTCCTCAACCCCATGTTGTCTGTCTTTGTTCCTTGTTTGTTTTGCTTTAGTATTTTAATTTATTCAGAAGTGGTGCATGAAAGTTTAATTAGGCATCCTTGAATGGTTTATGCATTCAGCCGACAATCTGTTTTCCAAGAGTCATCAAAGTGATGACCTCCAAAAATCACCAGCACTTTTGGTCTGCTGCTGTCCACCAGCCCTCGTTTGCTTCTGTGAATATTTCATTTATGCCTCTTTACATGGCTTTGTCTGCTGAACTGGAAGTCCCTCTTCACACAGAAAATCAAGGCCATTTGCTTTAAGGTCCTTTGATTTCTATTTTCATCTTCTGTTTTTACCCTCCTATTATTACCTCTATTTGTAGCCATTCCTCCTCTTTGTCCCAGTGGTGAAAGTACAAATTCCTGCCCGTGGCTAATTTTGTCCATCTGTGCTTTGGATCTCATTTTTTCCAACCCTAAAATCTTTATTTCTCCTGTATCTTACCTTTTGCTAGGTATGTGTTAATATTTATGTGTAACATTTATTTATTACACATTATATGTTATGTATTATACATGTATACTTTAGTATTTCTGTATTACATGTTATCCATATAAATATATGTAGTACTTACATGGTACATACCACATACTTTAAAGCTTCTTGAAAGCATGTCTTCATTTATTGTTAGCGTTTTGACTGCATGTGCACTCCCCAGAGATTTCAGCCTGGGCTCTGTCCTGCTCATGCCACGGAAACTGCTCACTGATGATCTCAGTGCTGTCCAGTCTAACGGATGCTGTTCTGTCCTAATTTTACTTGAAACATTCAACACTGACCTTTTTTTTTTTTTAATGCCCTCTTTTCTCTGCTTCTCTGATGCTGTTTCATGGCTGCTCCCAACTTTCTTTGCATTCCTCTTAGTCATCTTGTTGGGTCTTCCTCTGCTCATCCTTTCAGTATTGGTTTTACTCAGAGTTCTGTCCTTGATTTTCTGATCTTAATCACAACCATGGTTTCATCCACTGCTGGGTGTGGATATCTTTCAAATCCTAATCTCTAGGCCACTCTTTTCCCCTGAAAAGACCTGCTTGCTTGTGCTTGGATGCCTCACTGGTGTCTCAGACATAACTTGTGCCTGCTGTGTGATAGATGCTCAATAATGTATTTGAATGAATGAATGAACACATGTCTTGAATATGGAAAATGAATGGCTCTCAATTTCTACCGTGTGTGTGTAGTTTTAATAAGCTGCTGAATTACTGTTGAATTATGCCTATTCAGAGCTGTCCTACAAGGTCATTACCTCTTTTTCCTGTTGTCATTTTATTAGGTCACTGTACTTTTGTCATAGGAAAGAAAGAGAAGAAAAAAATTTGTCTGTTTTTGTTGCTGTTTCTTTTTTTGAGATAGTCTCTTGCTCTGTTGCCCAGGCTGGAGTGCAGTGGTGCTATCAAGGCTCAACCTGTGCTTCCTGGGTTCAAGCGATTCTTGTGCCTCAGCCTCCTGCTGGGATTACAGGTGTATAGCTGGGATTACAGGTGTATGCCACTACACCTGGCTAATTTTTAAATTTTTTCTTTAGTAGAGACCGGGTTTTACCATGTTGGCCTGGCTGGTCTCAAACTCCTGGCCTCAAGTGATCCACCTGCCTTGGTCTCCGAAAGTGCTGGGATTACAGGGATGAGCCACTGTGCCCAGCCGTCGTTGCTGTTTCTTTTCTTTTTTTTTTTTTTTTGAAACGGAGTTTTGCTCTTATTACCCAGGCTGGAGTGCAATGGCGCGATCTCGGCTCACCGCAACCTCCGCCTCCTGGGTTCAGGCAATTCTCCTGCCTCAGCCTCCTGAGTAGCTTGGATTACAGACATATGCCACCATGCCCAGCTACTTTTTTTTGTATTTTTAGTAGAGACGGGGTTTCACCATGTTGACCAGGATGGTCTCGATCTCTTGACCTTGTGATCCACCCGCCTTGGCCTCCCAAAGTGCTGGGATTACAGGCTAGAGCCACCGCGCCTGGCCTCGTTGCTGTTTCTTAATAGCTCTTATTGGAATGTGGGGGGAGGAAGTTTGAATGGATTCTCAAAGTGAAGTGTGTGTTACCTGTGGACTTAATTTAGCTTTGCATTCCCAGTCCTTTAGCGTAGTGGATAATAGACATGAATTGCATTTTTTTCCCCCCATGGATGGTATTTTTCTTTTTGGAGGAGGAGGGGTTTGATTTGGGCAAAGTGTTTATGGGAAAGAGGGAGTTGGTGATGCCTGAGCTTGTGGAAATAGATGAGAAACGCCTGATCTCTTCATGTCATCTGTTTATTAGTAGAGCCTGGTGCTTGCCAGGTGTTGTGCTGACAGGTACAAACCGAGGGTGCCCAATTTAGAGGGAACTGCTGAAGGGCCAGTGTCATTTGCAGGTGAATTATTTAATTGCAAACAAAGGATATCAGTTAAACATTTTACAGAGTGCTCTGAGAAATAAAACAGCTTTTAATTTCATGTAAAGTGTTGTAAATTCTCTCATCCATTCCCATGCAGTAGAAAAAATGAAGAACTTAGAGAAAGAATTGGCTGCACTAAAAAAATTCTCAAGTGATATTTTTGGGTTTTTTAGTAGTGCTTGCTCCCAAAATGCACCCTGCCCCCTAACAGCAACCAACAGCCTACACTTTAGAAACCAACTATGGGTAGGGACAAGAGACCTGGGATCTGCCGGGCCTCCTGTGCCAGTAAGGGGAAGATTATGTGTGTTTCCTTCAGTAATGCTAAGACGAAGAAATAAAATATTCTAAGCTCATTAGAAAGGGAACATAAGTATTCCCCTTTTTATTAGCAAGGTGATTGTGGCTGAACTAACCATCATTGTCTACTGAGATGAGTAGGTTTTGAGGCTTGAAATGGAAATGGTTTGAAATGCAAATTTTTATGTGCAGCTACTGTTTTGACAACCATATCATTCCTCCTTCTTTTTTTGTAGGCTTTAGAATCCAAATTAGCAGCTTGCAGGAATTTTGCAAAGGACCAAGCATCACGAAAATCCTATATTTCAGGGAATGTTAACTGTGGGGTGCTGAATGGCAATGGCACAAAGTTCTCTCGATCAGGGCACACATCATTCTTCGACAAAGGGTAAGTCCTGAATGTTTACAGTGATAATTTTTTGACTAGTAAAGTTACAGATTATTAAGTGAGCATAATGAAGCCTTGCAAAGCTAAACTCAGCTTGACTAACCTACCTACTTGAAGCCTGTTATCATTCTAATCTTAGGGGACATGAAGTCTGTTGATATCCTCTAGTCCCCATGGAGTCTGTTGCCCCAGGAACCCTGAATCTGAGGCTTCTGTCCTGGGAAGCAGACTCTTGAAAGGCAGCAGTGTGAGGCTCTGGTGAGTCAAGTGACTGTGATAAGGTCCCTGTTCTCCAGGCGCTTACAGGCTGGCTAGCTTGCAAATATTTTTTAAGGGTACAAGAGAGCATCACAATTAAATATATGCAAACTCTGCAACAGACCTCCCCTGTGAGAATTTTAGAGAAATATAAGACCTTGAAGTATGTAGGCACTGGATCAAATACAGTTTAGGAGATACAACTTTTGTATAAAGTTAAGGCTTTTTTGAAGATTGAAGTAAAATTATCCTAAGATTGAAGCAGTGATAATCCTTAATGCAAAAATTTGGGTTGCTATAGAAGTACATAAACTAAAAAGTCAGTGTTTCCTGCTTTTACACTGTTTCTGCATTGCTTAGTTATGCCAAGGCATGTCAAATCATATTTTTATGCGTCTTTTATGCATAAGTTGTTTTAACACAGTTACGGGATTATACTTTAAAGATTGCTTTGCATTGTGCCTATCATGACTTATATTGCCATTATCTTTTCATGTCATGTGTATTTTCTACCTCAGTTTTCTTATGTATTTTTAAATACTACATGATTGCCTTAATGTAGGTCACTAGTTAGGACCTGTGGCCTGGGGATGCTGACCATGTTGCCAAAGGTGGTTATTGAAACAGCTAACAGGCACCCATGATCCCTTGCCACTATCTCTGCTTTGAGTCATAGAGGTAATTCTTGCTTTTCTGTGAAAGCAGAGCAGGTACAACTCTAGAAATGTTCACAGTTTCTTAAGGCAGCTGGTATTTTCTGCCATCCCCAATAATGATAGTACATTTATAAAGGACCAGATTGGACACACAGGGCACTCTGAAAAGGGTCTTATCCTTGTAGTGGAGTGTTTTGGTTGATATCTGTCCCTTAAGAGAATTTTACCATGAATTATATACATTTCATTAAGGATTTTGTATTAAAAGCACATTGTAAATCATCACTATTAAAAAGAATAAAATTAGAACTTTATTCTTATAAAAAATTTTTAAACATTTTTTATTTTTTGTCTTTTTTTTTTTTTTTGAGACGGAGTTTTACTCTTGTTACTGAGGCTGGAGTGCAATGGCGCAATCTCGGCTCACCGCAACCTCCGCCTCCTGGGTTCAGGCAATTCTCCTGCCTCAGCCTCCTGAGTAGCTGGGATTACAGGCACGCACCACCATGCCCAGCTGATTTTTTGTATTTTTAGTAGAGACAGGGTTTCACCATGTTGACCAGGATGGTCTCGATCTCTTGACCTCGTGATCCACCTGCCTCGGCCTCCCAAAGTGCTGGGATTACAGGCTTGAGCCACCGCACCCGGCCCTATTTTTTGTCTTTTTAAGAGATGGGGTCTCACTATGTTGCTTAGGCTGTTCTCAAATTTCTGGGCTCAAGTGATCCTCCTGCTTCAGCCTCCTAAAGTCCTGGGATTGCTACCATGCTGATCTGTAATCAGAACTTTATTCTAACCATTGGGGTTTCTCGGGTGGAGTAAATATAAAATTGATTTTCCTCAGGCTTAGGAGTTTTAGGCAGACTTGTGGTAGCCCTTGTTTTTATGCTGGAATGGTAAATGGAATGGCTGGATGTTTTCACATGAGCATAACCATTTTCCCCAAATGATATGGAGAACGTTTGGGGAAGTCTTCATAAATTTTGGAAACAGTGCCTGATTATTTTTTCCTGCAACTTAAAATGAACCTCTCTGAGAGTAGTTATTAATCTTTCCTTGGAATCATATTTCTTGATGGGCCTCAGGTGCCTTATGACATGAGAGCAGGCATGAAACATAAATGGATTGGTTGGACAGGTGCCTGTGTGTGTGGCAGCCCTCAGGACAGTCATGATGGGGGAAGGATGACACTGTCTGTTCAGGGTCACTACTCCTGCCTGCCACTTGCCTCCCAATGCAGAGCACCAGGGCAGGGATTGCCAAGAGGTGAACTTGCTCTCAGGGAGATGTGAGGACTCAGTGTGAGTGGAAACCAGGCCTGTTTCTCAAGAGCATCAAGTATAGGCTTTCTTTCTTGAACTGAACCTGGAAATGTGCTGTGTTTCCCAATAAGAACAGTTACAGAGACTTGGTTTTGGTTTTACACTGTGCCTTTTCTATTAAGAAATATGCTTTTGTGGGCTGGCTGCTGTGCGAGTGCTTACCTGGTATGATAAGTGGATTGTGTGTACGCACTGAAATATTAACCTGTTGCGGGTTAGCTTTGTAGTTGCTGTATCCTGAGGATAACTCTTTCGTGGGTTTTGCTGTTTTTTCACTTTATTGCTGCTTTGCTTCGATTGTGGCTTCTAGCCTGCCTGGCTTTTTACCTCTGGCCTTTCTTCCTGCCGACCTGTTGACTAGATAAAAACCAAGATGTTGTGTATCAGGTGCAAAAGGAAGGGCAGGATATCCCAGTTCCTGGATCCATTCTACACTCTGGCAGGTTAAAAAAAAAAAGAAAAAAAGTCTGCCTGTATAGAAGTAGAGAAGCATGGCTTGTAGTTTCAGCATGAGAAAATCTCCCCATTTCAAAAAGCCCTCCACTGCGGAACCTGCCTGCCCTCCCTCTCACTCCTGGGTAGTCTGTAGCACTGTGGTGAGAGCTTACCGGTGCCGCTAGAAGCCTGTGGCAGGATTGTCTGGGGAAAAGATGTAATCAGAGTAGGTTTGTGTGCGTGTGCACGTGTGTGGGTGCCCATGTGTTCACTCCACCTTCCCACCCCGTCACAACCTGAGATGCAGTGAAGCTTTCTCACATAAAACGATATACCTTAGCTGGGCTATATTGCTTTATGGGATTCAGATTTTTCTTGTAAATTCTGGTCATTTGAGGGGTTTTTGGATTCGGAATTTTGCCTAGTCTGTGATCACTTCTGCCAGTTCCTGAAACATGGGCTGCCGTGCCCGCTTCCCTGGTGCTGAGCTGTTCCTTCAGCCGTGGTAACCCTTCATCTCAGCATCTAAAAGGACACACGTTTCATGTGTAGCGTAGTCACTTGGATTCCCTCAAAAACATTGTTTTCTTTGCATAACTTTTATGTAGTTACTTCTTATGCAATGTGCTCTATTTTTGTAGCCAGTGTGAGTTCTTTTGGGCTGTGTGTAGGTGGACTGATGTTAGGGCATGGTGTGGAAATAGTATTTGTATTACTGTTTAATATGTTTTCCTTTCTTTTATTAGGCAAGAAAAAGTCATATTTCCCACGTTGTTCATGGGTAACTGAATTTGTTTGCTGTGCTCTTTTCATTCTTTCTCAATCCTGGTGTGTGGTGGAAGACACATTAACAATCTGGTTTTACTAACTGCATGGGGCTGACTCAGCTTTAACCCACTTACAGCCCATCAGTGAGCTTTCAAGGAGCTGTCGAACTTGACTGTATGCCGTTATTATTAGTTCAGCTGTGGGAAGCAAGAACAAATTAGTTGCAGTGGTCCTGGGGGTGGCTGGGAGCAGCATACCAGGTGGCACCCCTGAGGTGGGCTAGGGAGCTGCAGTGTTGAAGTCAGAGTCTGATGATGGGGTATAGGGTCACTGTCAGGCCCTGGGATCACATTTGACTGTCTTCATGGGACTGAGGTTCTTCCTGTGACCCAATTGCTTCTGTTTTCTCAAATCAGGCACCAGCAATGACGGAGCCTTGCTGTATGGGCACTCCCTTACCTCTGCGCTCAACACGTGTAGTCCCCAGTTAAAATGGAATGGTAGACGGGGATGTGTGTAAGATCTCCCTTACATTTCAGAACTGCTTTGCAGTTTGCAGAGCCTGGGCTGAGGACTGGAGCAGGTTGGAGCTGTTCTGTGCACACACTCATCCACTAAACAGGGAGAGTCGAGGTGTGGCGGTGCCTGCCCGCAGGCTTTTCAGGATCGCTCTAGCCCACCCTCCTGCCCTCTCCAGTGCCCTCGTCCTTGCTTCTTCGACAGATTTCATGTCTCCATCCTTTACCTGGGTTGCTTTAGATTTATTGTCTTTCTGAGCAGCTTCTAAATGTGCCTTGGTTCCTCCCCCTTTGCACTTCTTCCACTGCCATTTTACAGCTGACCTTAGCACCTTTTCTCACCGGGAGTCTCTGTATTTCAGTCTCCTTACCTAGTCTTTGGTGGTAAGATCATGGCATTTGATAGTTCTGGAACCTTTTTTCCATATATGATTCCCAGATCTGTGTCTTCAAGTCTGCCCGTTCTCTCTTCCTTTAGTCCTGTGTTGTCCACTGGGACATTGCCCTGGGGCTCCCTGCTGCTCCCTGAAACTGCGTATGTTGAATATTGAGTCTCTTCTCTTGGTAATCTTTTTCTTGGGCAAAACTTTGCAGGTCCCCGAAGGGATCTCACCAGACCTGTCATCCCACCTATAAGGCCAGCTTTCTTCTCTGTTCTTTAACTTTCCACTTCTTGACTCACAAGAGAGGTGCTAGGTGAGACCCTGGTGGATTGTCGTTCTCTCTCTGTTCCACCCACCTTCACGTGAAGCACTCATTTCTGTCCACACAGAAATCTACTGGTTCTCTCTTTATCGCCTGGGCTGCATCACTTGCTTTTCCCGTCAGAGCCGAGCTTCCTTGGGAGTGCTGAGCTGGTTGCTCGCTGAGGTCTGCTGGGTGCCTATGACCAGGAGACTAGGAAAGGGTGCTGGCCTGGGCATCTGGAGGCAGCTGGGCCCGACTTCCCCATCGACGGCTCGCTAGGCGAGCTGAGGTTAATGGCTGGACCTTCTCTTGCTGTGGTTTCCTTGGCAGTGTAATAGTGGGATGAACCTCATGTTCCTTAAAGGTCCGTCCCACCTGAAAAGTCCAGAATCTCAGCCCTCAGCCTCCTCGAGGAGCCATCTCCTAGTTGCTGCTTTTGCACACCTCTGTGGCCCGGGTGCCAAATTCATCCTGGCATCCACTGGTGCTCCCTTTCTGCTGGGTTCCGAGGGCTGTCTGCAGTCCAAGTTTGGAGGCTGCCACTGTGGTCTGTGAGGCTGGGAATCTGAGGTTCGCTGCTGAGAGCTGCGGTCATTTGTGGGGCCTGCCTGGTTATCCCTGAGGTTTCTAGGAGAAGCAGGTGTCAGGGACTCTGGGACTAGCCAGACAGATGGAACCTATTATATGAGGGCTACAGTGGCAAATAGGATATGGCCTTGGCCCCAGAAGAGGCACAGGCGTGTGACCTTGGGAGAATGGGAAAGCATGGTTTAAACTTTCAAATGTGTTGAAGGTCAAAAATCAGACCTCTCCTAACCCGATGAGGAAAGGGGAGATCCGGCTGTTTGTCCTTGAAGGAGGACGGTGTACACCAGGGAGAAATGACATGGGCAGAGCCTGTGCTGTGGCTCTCGGTCTCTGTATGCGTGGTTGGAATTGAAACGCCAGATGTGTACTCTGAGTTTCTTTAGATATCAACTTTGTTTCTTCCAGGTAGGCAGGGACTGATGTCTCTGCAAGCCTGTTTCTCTGTGAGGTTACCCTCACCTTGTCCATGTATGAAACAGCTGTCTCTGCAGGGAGTGTGTGTCGGTACTTTTTTTCTTTTTTTTTAAAGAGAACCTCTCTCCATGAGTCTGTATTCAGCTCCCTGGACCCCTCTGATGAGTAGGTGGGAGCAGTAGTGGGCAGATGGGGTGCAGTGTGGCCCCTCGTTGTAGTTGGCTGTATCTCCCTAATTGCTAGTGGGACAAGTTTTCCTAGGAAGCTTTTCAAGGTGGAAGGGCTGTAGTGGCTCCTGAGGGAAGGTTCCAGGCTGCATACTCCCTCCCTCTCTCGCTGCTTTCTGTGGCTGCACTGCACGGGGGCAAAGGGGGGCGCTGGGGAGCTCCCTGCATCGCTGGGCTCTGGGTGCTGGGTCCTGGCTGCAGGCTGGTGGGTTGGGCTGGGCTGCCTGCACACGAGTCTGCATTGAAAAGCCTACTCATCTGGCATTGCCTGCTAAATAATTTTTTAAAGTTATTTTTCTCCACCTTATTAAGATACTCATGTGTTAATACATTGTAGGAGATTTGGAAAATGATTAAAAAAGGATAAAGTAAACAAAATTCACAACCCAGAGGGAAGAAAAATAATGATTCTTAGATTTTTTTCTATGATATATATGATCCTATGTACGTATATGTGTGTTTATATATGTGTGTGCATATGTAATGTGTGTATATATACATTCATATATACTCATGTCCCTTCCTGCATTGTAGATTTAGCTACATAGATAGTAACATCTAAGGGGCTGTAGTCTAGAATCTAGAATATTTACTGTTTGCTTTTTTTTCTTTTGTATTATTGAATATATGCAGTTTGGTAACCTCCTTCTTTTTCAGTATGTAACTTAGGGTTACATACTGAATATTTTCCCATGCTGTTAACTCGTGGAATGTGTTTTTAATGGCTGTGTGATATCTTATTGTTTAGTTGTACCGTTATTTAACTAGCTCCCTCTTGCCAGGCATTTGGAGCTGCTCTCTGGGGAAAGAATCAGGACTGTGGCTTCAGTGGCCGGTGTGCGGAAGTTGCCAAGAAGGGCCATGTGGTCCTGGTTCCCCCGCATTCCTGAGGCTCAGTTCTCTAACGAGCTGGTGCTGTCCAGGCAGCCAGTCCCCCTGGGCCATCAGGACCCTACTGTGGGCGAGTAGTTTTAGAAAGCAAATGAATTTCCCGTTGTGTGTGAGTGATTGTAAATGACGGTTTTTCTCTTCCGCTTTCTTCCTTTCTGTGCTCTGGTTGCTCCCACAGGGCAGTAAACGGCTTTGACCCAGCTCCTCCTCCTCCTGGTCTGGGCTCCTCGCGCCCCTCGTCAGCACCGGGTATGCTGCCTCTCAGTGTGTGAGTGCCCAGCCTCCAGGTGGGGGCTCCTGCCCTCCTCCAACAACCCAGGACACCCACGCCTCACCCCTTGGTGCCTGGGCCCGGCCCCATGCCCCTCCGTCTGCCTCCGCACGGCTGGCAGAGGGCAGGCTGCATGCAGTGGCGGCTGCTGGGCCCTGCCCAGCCCCGGGACTCTGCGCGATATCAATACTGGCTATTTTCTCTTCTCGCCGTAGTGCCGTTGGTTTCACATGATTGCACTTTTGTGGGTCACAAGGTGATACATACGTGTATTACTTGGTCACTGGATGCAGAAGTACCCATTCATCACACCTGCCTCATAGTCCCCACTCTGCTGTACTGATAGGATTTAGTTGTGTTTAGGACATTGCAAATCTTCTAGAAGTTCTCCCCAAATCAGGTCAGTGTGTGCCCTCCGGAGCTCCCACCCAGGCATCTCCAGTGCTCATGATCATGTGTCCCCCACTCCGCCCCTCACAGTTTGGGCCTGTTTCTGGCCAAGAGTCAGGAAGGTTACTGAATTAGGGAATGTTTTCTGCACCTTCTGATTTTACTTCAGCAGCTACCATTCCATGGACTTACCTCCCAGAGCAGCACAACGCCCGCCTGAGCCCCACGTGGCAGGGCCTCTGGGGCAGGGCACACACAGGCCGAGCCTCTGTGCTGTCTCCTCCTCCCTGCGCCTCAGACTCGGGGTGAGGGAGCGGGGCAGCCTCTCGCCAGCCTTCCGTTTCTTTAGTTCAACAATGTCTTCATCTTCAGAGCGTTTTTGTTTTCTCTTCCAAGGGCCAGTCCTGTTGTGTTAGGAAGGATGAGTGGCTCCAGGGCAGGCTGGCGCCGGCTCTGGGGGCGGACTGATAATGGTGGTTGTCCCTGTGCATCCTTTGATTACTCTCATGCTGCATTTACTGTTTACATTTGTTTTATTGTACATAGGTTTGTAAACATTATTGCCTAAGATATTTGTATATAACTTGGGCTTTGTAGCTTTTATTTATTCAGAACTCACATGGCATGTTAATGACTCTGATGGTGTCCTACTCTGGGCAGCTGTATAGGATCATCATGTGGTTACAAAAAATACTTCCCCTCAAAAACAGTCTTTTAATGTGGAAACAATAAATTTCACAGAAAAAAAGGATTGCTGTTGCTTTCTTCAGTCTCTGCCATCCCACGAGAGGAGCGCTGGGGCCCATGAAGCCAGGTTCCAGTGTCACTGCTGCTCTGCATGGGATGCGCAGCGGGCAGCAGCCGGAGTGGGAGAGAGATGAGGCGGTCTCTGGAGAGGTCTCCTGCGTGGAGCGGGCGTCCTCATGCTGTTTCTTGGTGCTGGCTTCTGGGCTTGGCTGTGTTTCCAGGAGCAGGTTGAGAATGGCCTGGGCCCCATGTGAAAATCTGGAAGGAAGGACCAGGAGAGGATGTTGAGGGTGGAAGGTCATGAAGTGCCGGAGTAACTGGGGCGGACCTGGGAGCTGGTCCTGCAGCCGTGCTGCTATTCATGACAGATGTCGTCATTCTGGGATTAGAAGTCACCTCGATCTGGCGCATCTCCTCACCCCTCAGGTTAATGCTAGTGAGTGAGAGAAGGTGCCAGATATTTGGTAGCAAGACGCAAGGTAACAAACACATTGAAGAACGCGTAAACTGGGAGTCTATGTGAATGCATCAGATTCTGACACTTTGCTTATAACAACGTAAACAGTATATCTTACAGTTTTAAAACTATAAGTAAATGAAAACTAAGTGAATCAAACCCTGAGTGAATAAGAACTATTAAGTAGGATCCATTGTCAAACAATTCTCTATTAATCTATGGACAGGAATATCTGCTGTTCTTGGAGATTTTATCCTGAGCTGCCTCTCCAGGGACACTGGCAGTGGGGTGTGTGCTGTGCCCGGCCAGGCTGGCAGTGGCTGAGAGGACAATCCTAAGCCTCCTGTTGATATGCAGCAACTTCCAGCTTCTTTCCCAACCCTCATTGGAAGGATTGGATTAAATGAGAGGTTTCAACATAAGCCAACCTCTATTTATGTAGAAACTCCAACTAAAACACAGCAAGCAGGGCTTTAACTCTGGTTACAGCATAGATGATGTTTGGAGCCCTGAATCCTGGTCCCTGGCTCTCCAAATGATTTCTCACTTCCTTTGCATTTAACCAGCCTCATCTTACCCAAACTGCTCTGCCAGTTGCTGGTCACTCAGTTGATGGCTGGAGGAAGGGCCCTGGCTACGGGAGCCCACGAGTCATCCACTGCTCTGGGTCTAGAAGAGTCTGGGCCATGTCCCTGGAACAGTAGCAGTGTACCATTGGGCTTATTTCTGGACCCTTTGGGAGGAGACTTCCGCTTTAAAAATTAAAAAATTTTCTTAGTCTAATTTAGCAGTGGGGGCTTATATGCCAACTTCAGTGACTTTTTTTTTTTTTTTTTTTTGAGACAGAATCTTGCCCTGTTGCCCATGCTGGAGTGCAGTGGTGCAGTCTCAGCTCACCACAACCTCTGCCTCTCAGATTCCAGAGATTCTCCTGACTCAGCCTCCCAAGTAGCTGGGATTACAGGTGCCAACAGCCATGCCTGGCTAATTTTTTTTTTGTGTGTGTGTGTGTATTTTTAGTAGAGACAGGGTTTCACTATGTTGGTCAGGATGGTCTCAAACTCTTGATCTCAGGTAATCCACCCACCTCAGCCTCCCAAAGTTCTGGGATTATAGGCATGAGCCACTGCACCCAGCCTTAGTGACATTTTCTGTGGCTGTAGCAACTCTTGGTAAATGACCCTGGGAGGAAACTGACTGCCTGGACCTCATCTCCCACTTTCTGTTTGGACTGTGTGGTGTAAGTTGCTACTTTGGATGTGGTCAGAGAGAGCATCTGCTACCTGGCATGAATGTCGCTATGTGTTGTTTGCCTGTCTAGCTAAAGGGTGCCTCTGGGTAGGGTTTCTTCCTGGGGCTACCAGGTGCTTGGTTTCACTCATCCTGTTGAAACCTCGGGAATGAGCCTCCCTGAGCTGCATCCATGTGCTGTTCCTCCCTGCTGGTGGGGCTCATCTCCCAGGTGGTGGGCAGCTTCTTGCCTCCAGGTGTTTGTATTACAGCCACTCAGTCCTACCCCTCGTTCCCAAATGTCATCTTAGAAGAGTAGTGGCCAGGTGTGGTGGCCCATGCCTGCAATTCCAGCACTTTGGGATGCCGAGGTGGGTAGATCCTGAGGTCAGGAGATTGAGGTCATTCTGGCCAACATGGTGAAACCCTGTCTCTACTAAAAATAGAAAAAGTAGCCAGGCGTGGTGGTGTGTGCCTGTAGTTCCAGCACTTTGGGAGGCCGAGGCAGGTGGATCACGAGGTCAGGAGATTGAGACCATCCTGGCCAACATGGTGAAAACCCATCTCTACTAAAAATATAAAAACTAGCCGGACGTGGTAGCGTGCACCTGTAGTCCTAGCTACTCGGGAGGCTGAAGCAGGAGAATTGCTTGAACCTGGGAGTTAGAGGTTGCAGTGAGCCGAGATCACACCACTGCACTCCAGCCTGGCTACAGACTTAGAATCTGTCTCAAAAAAAAAAAAAAGAGTAGTAGCTAGCACTCTACTTCTTTCAGCCTAGAGTAGCCAGATATGACCCCCCCACCAATGCAGAAGAGAGCCAGAAGCCAAAGTTGGGAACTTGAGTCACAGGGAGGCCTGCGAGAACTACACAGAAGTGAACTGAGGGCAGGACACGCTGCTCTGACCGCAGGTGGCAGAAGGGACTGTGGGCCTGGGTTTGACTTGCCTGAGCTCACACGGCTAATTCATGGTGAAGCCAGGCTTGGGCATGAGCCCGGTCTTCGTCTGCTGTGCCTTTCCAAACGTGAGGCCTCGCTGGCCTTGACTCCCATGCTCTGTCCTGTGCCTCGGGAGAGGAGCAGGTTTGGAAGGCTTGGAAATGATGAGGGGCGGGGCCGGCACAGCCTTTGCAGCAGGAGCCTTCCTTCTGTGCCACGTGCACATGCTGACTCCGCCTCTTTCTGCATCTGCCCCAGAGATGCCACTAGTGCATGTCTCTGAGAGCCAAAGTGGAAGCTGGCACCTCTGGGAAAGGGGAGGCATCTGGGTGGAGCCACAGCTTTAGGGAGCGCCTTGTAGCCGGCTCTGCCCTCTCCCTGTCTATAACGGTGTGGTGCCCTGTCTCATGGTGGGTGTTGGTGATACAGCATTCCTGGAAAGCAGATTCCAAATTTTCCTTCTAAGCTGCTGATGCCCATTCTGCAAGGTTTTTTTTTCTTTCTTTCTTTTTCAGATGGAGTTTTGCTCTTGTTGCCCAGGCTGGAGTGCAGTGGCACAATCTCGGCTCACTGCAACCTCCGCCTCCTGGGTTCAAGCGATTCTCCTGCCTCAGCCTCCCAAGTAGCTGGGATTACAGGCATGTTTTACCACTTCTAATTTTGTATTTCCCATCCTGCAAGTTTTGATACTGGGCTTATCAATCTCGCCAGGAGTCGGGCAGTGACACCATCACAGCTGCTGCCTACTGACAGTGATTACGAGACACAGATGTTGTGTACGTGAAGCCGGGGGCGCCCTGGCACCTGTGCAGTATGACACATGCTTGGGAGGCAGTGCTCTGCCTGGGAATCTGTCAGACCCAGTTTGCCGGTTATGTCACATTACCTCTTGAATAAGGCTTTATGACATCCAGTCAGCCAGAATAGAGCCTGTTAGTGGGTTGCCTAGTCTCAGTAGAGGTTGAAGGCCGGAGCCACACTTTCTGCCCAGTATACAGGCTCTGTAGCTACGTGAACATCTCTGAAAAGCGGCAGTATGACAGACGCCCACCCTTTCATAGCTTCATACTAAGATTTCCAACAAGATGAGGTACTTCACAATTTGCTTTATTCCCAAATGGCAGGTGCCTACAAAAGGAAGTCGACTTCTGTGTCTGGTCCTGACAGCTGGCTCAGGACAGCATTTTGGCAAACACTCAAAATTTGGGAAAGCTCTTGGTACAGATGTTGTCTCAGAAAGATGGAAAGGGAGAGGTGCTTTCTTGCGTCCCTGCCAGAGACTGGGAAGCCTGTGTGGGTGAGCCCCTGACGGGAGACCTGCCTGCAACTGGAGGGGGAGGAGTCATCACCGCTTTCTAAGGATTCCAACCTGGAGCCTGTTCTGGCTTTTTTCTTTTTTGGAGGGATGAAGGAAGGACAGGAAGGTGTGGTTTGAAAGCCAGGAGCTCTCTTCTCTGACATGGACATGTCTGTCCCTCAGCAATACCGGCCCTGGGGAAAAGGGCCATGGGCCAGTCATACCCAGGGCCGTAGGAAGGGTTGGCTAGAACAGCTTGGCCTATGGCCCACAGTTCATCTTAGCTGAGGTTTCCTGGGACAGGAAAAATTGGTGACAGAAAGATGTGACAAATCTACAGCCTGACACCATCAGGAATTGGAAGTATCCCCTCAAGCCAGCAGGCTAGAAATAGGTGTTATTGGCCAGGCATGGTGGCTCACACCTGTAATCCTAGCACTTGGGAAGGGAGGCCAAAGTGGGCAGATCACCTGAGGTCGGGAGTTTGAGACCAGCCTGTGCAACGTGGTGAAACGGTTTCTACAAAACAAAAATAAAAATTAGCCAGGCGTGGTGGGCGCCTGTAATCCCAACTACTTGGGAGGTTGAGGCAGAGAAACGCTTGAACCTGGAGGCAGAGTTTGAACTGAGCCAAGATCGTCCCACTGTGCTCTAGCCTGGGCAAGAGTGGGACTCCATCTCAAAAAAAAAAAGTTGTTATCCCTCCAGAGCAGTTTAAAATAATCCCCTGGAATGGCTGCATTTTGAAAAAAAAAAAAAAAAAAAAAAAAAAAAAAAAAAAAAAGGCTGGGCACGGTGGCTCACACCTGTAATCCCAGCACTTTGGGAGGCTGAGGTGAGTGGATCATCTGAGGTCATGAGTTCAAGACCAGCCTGACCAACATGATGAAACCCCATCTCTACTAAAATTTGTTACAAAAGTTAGCTGGGTGTGGTAGCACATGTCTGTAATCCCAACTACTCAGGAGGCTGAGGCAGGAGAATCGCTTGAACCAGGATGTGAAGGTTGCAGTGAGTCAAGATCGTGCCATTGCACTCCAGCCTGGGTGACAAGAGTGAAACTCATCTCAAAAAACAAA